CGCTGCCACTATTTCAGGTACTTTACATCCATAATAACATCACTCATCACTCCTAAAGGCTCCACTGCTTTCTGTAGAAGCCGGAAAACCCGGAAAAGATGCACTGGTTTATACTGCCCTCTGTATAAGCCAGAAAGCCGGGGAAAATGCATTGGTTTCGTCCAATATGTGCAAATGGAAATACAAGTACAATAAACATAATACAATAGTCTAAAGCAGGGGTGTCAAACTCCAGTCCTCGAGGGCCGCTGTCCTGCAGGATTTTAGAGGTAACCCTTTTTTAACACACCTGATTCACATCAAAGGGCCATTAGACAGGTGCAAAGCTCAACAATGTCCAGAGTAGATCCAATTTAATAAGACTCAGGTGTGCAGAAGCAGGAAAATGTCTAAAACCTGCAGGACAGCGGCCCTCGAGGACTGGATTCTGACACCCCTGCTAGACTATTGTATTTTCCATATTTATTGTACTTGTATTTTTATTTGCACATACTGGACGAAACCAATGCATCTTTTCCCGGTTTTCTGGCTTTTACAGAAAGCAGTGGAGTCTTTAGACCAGGGGTGGGCAACCCCGGGCCCCGAAAGCCACTGTCCTGCAGGTTTTAGAGGTTTCCCAGCTTCTGCACACCTGATTCAGATCAAACTGATCTCTTCTAAAGGTGCTTCAGCTCTGAACAGGACTGCTGATGTTGTGTTGATGTTATTCAGGTGTGTAGAAGCAGGGAAACCTCTAAAACCTGCAGGACAGTGGCTCTACAAAATACCTAAAAATATTATTTAAAGTATGTTTAAATGTGTGAAAAAATGTACCAAATACTGAAGAAGTGTTTGAAAGACCTCAGAAAAAACAATCAAGACCACTTGGAAAACCTGAAGTTTGACTTTTCTGCTGTTCTTGTCTAGTTTTTTCAGTCCACCTCTTCTTATTTAGATCATATTTACTCATTGACTGCCAGAGTTTTTGAGCATTTTGACTGATTTTTCAAGAGCCACAGAATAGTTTGTGCTATGACTATGTAAACACCGAAGACACCAAAAGAAAGAGTAGACTCTCTTCTTTCATCGGGAAAAGACATGTTTCTACCTTATTCCGTTCTTCCTCGTCTGCGTCTCACCGGCGACATGTTCTCTCATAGAACCGTTACCTTTTTCTTATTTGCCTACAGTCTATGCTCATCTCCCATCAAAAGTGGCACTGCCACCTAGAGGGTCAATTTGTTACTACATACTGTGTCTAGAACCCGATATTTACGGACTAGCTTTAGCAGAACGTCCCCCAAGCCACTCTTGTTGAAAAACATAAAAGCCGTCTATAGACATCTTTGGCAGTCAATGAGTTAACTGTAAAATATCCTGTATGACACATTCTCAAAAGCGATCTGGTGTCTTTGGTGGCTCCAAATTGCTGAAACGTGTTCTGAAGGTGTTCTGTTTGGTGGCTCCTCAGGGCTCTTCTGTACGGGGGCATGAAGGAGTCTCAGCCCCAGGCGGAGGTGAGTCTGGAGGAGACGCGGGCCGAGGCCTTCTCCATGCTGCTCAACTACCTGTACACGGGCCGGGCCAGCCTGAGCTCGGCCCGGGAGGAGGTGCTGCTGGACTTCCTGGGCCTGGCCCACCGCTACGGCCTGCAGCCCCTGGAGGACTCCACCTCCGAGTTCCTGCGCACCGTGCTGCACACCAACAACGTGTGCCTGGTGTTCGACGTGGCCAGCCTGTACTCGCTGAGCGCGCTGAGCGCCGCCTGCTGCGCCTACATGGACCGCCACGCCCCCGAGGTGCTCAGCTCCGAGGGCTTCCTCACGCTGTCCAAGGTAGGGAAAGAATCCATTTTTGGATTCTGTTAAAGTTCATGTTGTTCCTGTGTAGGGATGGGTCCAGGGTAGGGCGGGAGAAACCGTCTGTTCCCGGTTCTCCAACTGGCTCTTTAGTTATGGGGCCTTCAAGGTTTTACTGGCCAAAGACCCCCAAACTGATGGCAAGATGGAGTTGGGATCCCCTAAATATATATATATATTGTATGAAATTGTGGTGGTCCTATAGTGTCATGTGTAGATCCACCTTGTTATCGGGCATTCAGTACTAAGATACTCAAATAATCCACAGGTTCATATATTCTAGGGTTGTCAAAAGTATTGATACTCAAAAAAGTATCGATACTAATATGTTGTATCCGGATACGATACTCATTTAAAAAAGTATCGATACCACCGGCCCCCCTTCTCTCTGATTTATTTATGTATTTATTTACGTTGTTTATTGTCATTAACAAGACGTTAGCCTTGAACTGCTAGCTGCGGCCAATAGCTAATAATAACATGCTAAAATTAATCAAGTACATATCCAAGTCCGCCCACATGAAGTCGGCCATTTTGATTACGTCACCAATAAGAAGATCCCAGGCAAGAAAATCCTAATGGCTTCATGGCAATTTAGACATTAATTTAAAAATAGTGAAATTAATCTTTTAAACACTTAATTAAACTCCATCCATAATATTATGTTAAAATAGTGTATGTTAAATAGGTTTGTACAATAAGTCCAAACAAGTTTAACCCAAAAATATTTATTTCTCACAATTATTAAGGCTGTTGGGTCAGGCTTAGGGTTAGGGTTAGGGTCATTAATGTGGGCCACCAGTCACGATACCATCAGTAACAGGTCAGTTTGGAATGAAAGACACAATTCAGTTACATTTTGGGGTCTTTGTTTTTATCCTTGTGGTATCGAAAATTGTATAGAGTATCGAGTATTTTCCTGAGTATCGCTTTCGAGTTGAAAATTTTAGTATCGTGACAACCTTACTCTTTAGTTCAGGAGTCTTCCGACGTTCTCCAGGCCAAGGACCCCCATACTGATGGCAAGACGGACACCCTAATTATATATATTGTATGAAATTATGTTCTATCAAACTGGTCCTGTAGGGTGTAAATGTACCTTGTTATTGGGCATTCAGTACTAAGATCCTCAGATAATCCACAGGTTCATATATTGTAGGGTTGTCAAAAGTATCCATACTCAAAAAATTATCGATACTTTTGACTAAGTGTCTTGAATAGGAATCAAATAAACACAAAAATGTATTTTTTAATCATATTTTATATTTCTTCTTTCAAATTGCACTTAACATGTCCACTTCAATATATAAAATTATATACAAAATCTAGTCATAAGGAATTATTACATGATTACGCCACCAGTCACTAGAACAGCACTGACACTCAAATATGGCAAATTAATTGCAGATAATTAATTCCTTATCAAAAAATCTTTTAAAACCAATTAGGTGAAATAGGATGATTTTCTAGGGCACACCTGACCATCACTAACGGCACACTAGTGTACCGAGGCACAGTGGTTGAAAAACACTGTCCTAACCATTAAGTTGTTATCAGAGTAAATCCCTGTTCAACATGAGTCTGACAACTAAGGAAGTAGATAAATAACTTTCAAATTTAACACATGCTCCGATATGTTTATAATGCAAATATAATCCGGGTTCGAGATTCCTGGGACTGGTGTTAGCCAGCAGGGCTAACAGCTCTGACCAAAAGCAGAAAATATTTTAAGTGTAGTGATCAGACATCGTGGAAAAGAGTGAGAAAGGCACAGTGGTTGAAAAACACTGTCCTAACCATTAGGTTGTTATCAGAGTAAATCCCTGTTCAACAGGAGTCTGACCAATAAGTAAGTAGATAAATAACTTTAGACTTTAACACATGCTCTGATATGTTTATAATGCAAATATAATCGGGGTTGGAGATTCCTGGGACTGACCAAAAGCAGTAAATATTTTAAGTTTAGTGATCAAACATCGTGGATAAGAGTGAAAAAGGCACAGTGGTTAAAAAACACTGCCCTAGGGATCCGGTTAGACCTGTGGCTTTTATCTGAAGTGTATCTCTGTGTGTGTGTGTCTAGACGGCGCTGCTCACCGTGGTCCGGCGGGATTCCTTCGCCGCCACTGAGAAGGAGATCTTCCAGGCGCTGAGCCGCTGGTGCCGGCAGCGGGAGGACGGCGCCGACACCGCGGAGGTGATGGCGGCCGTGCGGCTGCCGCTCATGACTCTCACCGAGATGCTGAACGTGGTTCGGCCGTCGGGGCTGCTCAGCCCGGACGACCTGCTGGACGCCATCAAGACCCGATCCGAGAGCCGAAACATGGACCTGAACTACCGCGGGATGCTCAGTCAGTCCCCCCTCCCCTCTCGTCATATTAGGAGTCATATTATACCCTATTTCAACAAGTTAAGCTAGTTTTATAAATTGTGTTTATAATTTGTTTTCCATTTCATTCAACACAGTTCCTTACTAATTAATAGTCGCATTTTTTTCCCTTCTAAGTATGAACGTCCAAAATTGCCCCAAATTCAATTAAAGGAGACATATTGTACCCTATTTCAACAAGTTAAGCTAGTTCCCTGGTGTTCTAATGTAATGTCTGTGACAAGCTTTGGTCAAAATCCCATAAGGATGAAGCCCAATAGCAGTTCAATCACCCTGCTTTTTCCACGTTGCATTTTTAACTCGTTGACTGAGTTTTGAGAATCAGGGAATTGAACCATGTCAATTTATCTTGAGTTAAATTCAAACAAAGGGACCCAAGTTTTTTTAGCATTTTAACTGATTTTTCAAGAGCCACAGAATAGTTTGTGCTATGACTATGTGAACACCGAACACACCAAAAGAAAGAGTAGACTCTCTTCTTTCATCAGGACAAAAAAAATGTGTTTCTACCTTATTCCGTTCTTCCTCGACTTGCGTCTCACCGGCGCCATTTCTCTCATAGCGAACCGTTACCTTTTTCTTATTTGCCTACAGTCTATGCTCATCTCCCATCAAAAGTGGCACTGCCCCCTAGAGGGTCAATTTGTTACTACATACTCTGTCTAGAAGCCTGATATTTACGGACAAGCTTTAGCAGATCGTCCCCCAGCCACTCTCGTTGAAAAACAACATAAAAGACGTCTATAGACGTCTTTGGCAGCCAATGAGTTAAAAAACAGTTTTTTTTTGCATAACACGTCACCTTTAATTGGCCGTGTCCGTGCTTGGGTTCCAGTCCCGGAGGAGAACATCGCCACCATGAAGCACGGCGCCCAGGTGGTGAAGGGCGAGCTGAAGTCGGCGCTGCTGGACGGGGACACGCAGAACTACGACCTGGACCACGGCTTCTCCAGACACCCCATCGAGGAGGACGGCCGCGCCGGGCTGGAGGTCAAACTGGGCCAGCCCTCCATCATCAACCACGTCCGGCTGCTGCTCTGGGACCGGGACAGCCGGTAGGACCGCCTCCGGCCCAAGTCTTTTTTTTTCTTTTTGTCTCATTTAGGGTTGTCAAAAGTATCGATACTCGAAAAAGTATCGATACTAAAATGTTGTATCCAGATACGATACTCATTTTCAAAAGTATCGATACCACCATACCTTCTCTCTGATTTAATTGTGTATTATTTACGTTGTTTATGATCATTAACAAGACGTTAGCCTTGCTAGCTGCGGCTAATGGCTAACAATAACGTGCTACCATTTATCAAGTACATATCCGACTCCGCCCACATCCAAGTCGGCCATTTTTATTAGGTCACTAAAAGGAAGATCCCAGGCAAGAAAATCCTAATTGCTTCATGGCAATATAGACATTAATTTAAAAATAGTTAAATTAATCTTTCAAACACCGTATTAAACTTTATACATATTATGTTAAAATAGTGTATATGAAATCGGTTTGTACAATAAGTCCAAACAAATTTAACCAAAAAATATTTATTTATCATAATTATGAAGGCTGGAGGGTTAGTGTTAGGGTCATTAAAGTGGGCCACCAGTCACGATAACATCAGTAACAGGTCAGTTTGAAATGAAAGACACAATTCAGTTAAATTTTGGGGTCTTTGTTTTTATCCTTGTGGTATCGAAAATGGTATCGAGTATTTTCCTGAGTATCGGTATCGAGTTGAAAATTTTAGTATCGTGACAACCCTAGTCTCATTCTGCCCCTGTGTGACCCACAGGTCCTACTCCTACTACATCGAGGTCTCCATGGACGAGCTGGACTGGATCCGAGTCGTCGACCACTCCAAGTTCCTCTGCCGCTCCTGGCAGAATCTCTACTTCAGCCCTCGCGTTTGCAGGTGAGCAGAACCACCTATATTATTATGATAATATACAATAATGATAATTTTGTATATATATATATATTAGGGATGGGACGGTTTCTGAAAACCGTCTGAACCGTTCGGTTCGACTGTTTCGGTTCGGTTCACGTGTGTACCGCACGGTTCATGCACTGCTCCTTTTTCTCAGAGGGAAGCGTGTTCACTCCAGAGCAGAAGGGGGCGCTACTGCGCCCAAAGCCAACCACCAGTAGGAAACCAGAAGAAGAAGAAGCAGCGTAGCCGATAAAAATCTGACGCGCCAACAGCAGTTTCTAGGTCTGCTGTATGGACCAGTTTGCATTTAGAGGGAAGCACATGTTGGAATTAGCACTGTTTCCTCTCTTGCAATGCCATAATCTCACCTACTTTTAACCTAAGACTGTCACAATAATGGATCAAATGTCAGACTGCTTTTTTCTTTCAGTTTTTACTAGGGATGGGGATCGAAACCCGGTTCTATCAAGGACCCGGTTCCACTTTTTTCAAAACCCAAAAATCAATACCGTTTGGGCTTATCGATACCACTATCGAGTCTGGTCGTTTTTTTTTTTATTACAATAGTAATTGTGAAATCCGTGTTGTAATCGGCAGCATACAAGCTAGTTAGCTTGAAAAGTAAATAAAGTTTCAGACGTGCTGCGTGATGATGTGTTCAGATTGGCTCAGTAAAACGACAATTAGGTTATCATGATGCGTTCAAGTGTAACGTAAAGAAAAGGGAAATTGAGTTTTTGGCGAGAAACGAGTAATACAGTTGTATATTGCTCTAATTATTTTTAGAATATATAATTAAACTACTGATGCCAACATTTATTAAAAATTACATTTAATTTAAAATACAATTATTTATTTGTTAAATATTGTTGCATCGTCTTTCCACCAAATAACAGAAAATTATCGATAGTGGTATCGATAAAGACTCGGATCGATAAGGAGTATCGATAAAAGTATCGATATCAATAAATATTAACGATCCCCATTCTTAGTTTTAACCTGACTATACAAGACATAATAGATTTTCCTAACAATCACCATATACCGAACCGAACCGAAAACCGTGACCACGAAACCGTGAAACGAACCGAACCGTGGATTTTGTGAACCGTCCCACCCCTAATATATATATATATATGTACAGACATATATGTACAGACATGTGTATATGTATATGCCGCTGTTTTATTTATGGAGCCAGTAACAAAAATAATTTCCCTCTGGGATTATTAAAGTATTTCTGATTCTGATTCTGATTCTGATTGGTGTGGAATGAAACTATAGGAGAGCTTTACATATATAAATATCCAAAAAAAATCAATAAATAGAGCTCATTTTAATCTATATTCTCTGAATAAGAGGTTTCACTATTTTCACACTAGACCAACCAGAAATGGGACAGAAACACCAGACTGGATCACCTAACGCTACTTTAGACAAGTTAAAAACGTCCTTTTCTTGTTTAATTATCGTGTTATTTACTGTTTATAATCCAAAAGACGCTTCTCAGATTGTTCTTCATGGCGATTGTTAGCTCAGATTGTTAGCTTAGATTGTTACCTCAGATTGTTATCTTAAATTGTTAGCTAAGATTGTTAGCTCAGATTGTTATCTTAAATTGTTAGCTCATATTGTTAGCTCAGATTATAGCTCAGATTGTTAGCTCAGATTGTTAGCTCAGATTGTTATCTTAAATTGTTAGCTCAGATTGTTAGCTCAGATTGTTATCTTAAATTGTTAGCTCAGATTGTTATCTCAGATTGTTATCTCAGATTGTTAGCTCAGATTGTTATCTCAGATTGTTAGCTCAGATTGTTAGCTCAGATTGTTAGCTCAGATTTTTACCTCAGATTGTTTCCTTAGATTTTTTCCTCAGATTTTTACCTCAGATTTTTTCCTCAGATTGTTTCCTCAGATTGTTAGCTGTTAGCTCAGACCAACTGCTGTTGATAGTTTCCTCCATATTTGAACTACTGCTGTTCAGTGGCTCCACAGTGCCCCCTGTTGGCTGACGGGGGAACTGCGTCTGGCGGCCTCCATTTAAACCCCCATCTAAGGCTCTGTGATCGGGGTTTTTACCGGACACCAATTTCTATTTTCTGTGTGTCTAAGCTTCTCTCTGTTTCACTAATATGCTTTGAATTATTTTCTAGCCAATTTCTGAAATAAGTGTGACAAAATGTTATTTTGCCGTGTTTAAATGTAGGTTCAGGTTATTCTTTTTGGCACATTTTTGTGTTAAAACAAAGAAAAACTTAGGAATGATCAATTAATTGTGTTTGTGGATTATTTCAGAGAATTGGACCCCATTCTTCTGTAGTTAGCTTAAAAAGCTCTTTGTTTGTGTGTCTCATACAGATAAGGCTTAAACGTGAGAGGGGAAAAGGGGGAAAAAAAGCTCTGGCTGCACTTTATTTGGTTATTTCAACATCTAGTTTTTGTTTAGCGTTGCTGTCCTGCTCTGAGATGTTGCTTCTCTGTTTATAATCGTTTCTCAGGTACGTTCGAATTGTTGGAACTCACAATACCGTCAACAAGGTTTTCCACCTGGTGGCCTTCGAGTGCATGTTCACCCACCGCTCCTTCACCCTGGACAGCGGCCTCGTGGGTAAGCTGCCCCCCCCCCCAGGAAGCCAAGGATGGATAACCAACTCCCCCACATCCAAGTCGGCCATTTTGATTAGGTCACCAATAGGAAGATCCCAGGAGAGAAAATCCTAATCGCTTCATGGCAATTTAGACATTAATTTAAAAATAGTGAAATGAATCTTGCAAACACTGATTTAAACTCTATCCATAATATTATGTTAAAATAGTGGATGTTAAATAGGTTTGTACAATAAGTCCAAACATGTTTAACCCAAAAAATATTTATTTCTCACAATTATGAAGGGTTAGGGTCAGGGTTAGGGTTAGGTTTAAGGTTAGGGTTAGAGTTAGGGTTAGGGTTATGGTTAGGGTCAGGTTTAGGTTTAGGGTCAGGGTCAGGGTTAGGGTTAGGTTTAGGGTAAGAATCAGGGTTAGGGTTAGAGTCAGGGTTAGGGTCAGGGTTATGATCAGGTTCACGCTTAGGGTCAGGGTCAGTGTTAGGATTAGGGTTAGGGTCAGGGTTAGGGTCAGGTTTAGGGTTAGGGTTAGGGTCAGGATTACGATCAGGTTTAGGGTTAGAGTCAGTGTTAGGGTTAGGGTCAGGGTTAGGGTCAGGTTTAGGGTCAGGGTTAGGGTTAGGGTCAGGATTACGATCAGGTTTAGGGTTACAGTTAGGACATCGTTTATCTTCCGATTTCATATAGACAGTAAAGCTTCATTTCCACCTCAGAAAGCTGCTAGTCACATACATGACCCAATCAAAATGGCCGACTTGGATATGGGAGGAGTCGGACATCCGACCGAGGCTCCTGCAGACCAGAGGCCTGTAACCGGCCTCTCTCTCCTCTCAGTGCCGGGGGAAAACGTGGCCACCATCTCGTCCTGCGCCAGCGTGGTGGAGGGCGTGAGCCGCAGCAGGAATGCCTTGCTCAACGGCGACACGCGGAACTACGACTGGGACTCGGGCTACACCTGCCACCAGCTGGGGTCCGGGGCCATCGTCATCCAGCTGGCACAGCCCTACTCCATCGGGTCCTTAAGGTGGGGGGGGAAGGGGGGGGTATTTACCAGCTAAAAGTGTTGCCTGTTGGTTGTAGGGTTTGTCACAATACTAAAATTTTCAACTCGATACCGATACTTATATCGTTAAAATATTCGATACCATTTTGGATACCACAAGGATAAAAACAAAGACCCCAAAATCTAACAGAATTTTGACAGGTTAGTGTCTTTTCAAACTGACCTGTTACTGATGTTATGGTGCCCCACATTAATGACCCTAACCCTAACCCTAAACCTAAATTTAACCTTAAACCTGACCCTAACCCTAAATCTTAACCTAACCCTGACCCTAACCCTAACCCTAACCCTGACCCTAACCCTGATCCTTATCCTTACCCTAACCCTAACCCTGACCCTAACCCTAACCCTGATCCTTACCCTAACCCTAACCCTAAACCTTCATAATTGTGAGAAATAATAATAATATTTTTTGGTTCAACTTGTTTGGACTTATTGTACAAACCTATTTAACATCCACTATTTTAACATAATATTATGTATAGAGTTTAATTCAGTGTTTGCAAAATTCATTTCACTATTTTTTTAATTTAAATTAAATAAAATAAATTAATTTGTATTGACATGAAGCAACTAGGGTTTTCTTGTCTGGGATCTTCCTATTGGTGACCTGATCAAAATGGCCGACTTGATTAAGGTTGGCATGTTATTATTAGCCGTTAGCCGCAGCTAGTAATTCAAGGCTAACGTAACGTTAAAGATCATAAACAACGTAAATAAATAAATAAATCAGAGGCAAGGGGGAGACGGGTATAGATACCTTTGAAAATGAGTATCGTATCCGAATACAACGTTTTAGTGTCGATACTTTTTAGAGTATCAATACTTTTTTGAGTATCGATACTTTTGACAACCCGAATCGTCCAATCAGAACCCTCTCCTCCTCAGGCTGCTGCTGTGGGACTGTGACGAGCGTTCCTACAGCTACTACATCGAGGTTTCCACCAACCAGCAGCAGTGGACCAAAGTGGTGGACCGAACCCGGGTGCCATGTCGGTGAGGACACATTAGCGTTAGCATTAGCATTAGCATCTGTAACCCACAGGTCTGTGTCCTAACCATTAAGTTGTTATCAGAGTAAATCCCTGTTCAACATGAGTCTGACAACTAAGTAAGTAGATAAATAACTTTAAACTTTAATTAATGCTCTGATATGTTTATAATGCAAATATAATCAGGGTTCGAGATTCCTGGGAATCTGGTGTTAGCCAGCAGGGCTAACAGCTCTGACCAAAAGCAGTAAATATTTTAAGTTTAGTGATCAAACATCGTGGATAAAAGTGAAAAATTCTCAAAAAGTGTCAAATTTGGCACAAATTCTCCTGTTGAATCTAAATATCCTGTTTTTTTTGTTTTTTTTTAAAGGGCTTTTTAAAAAAATTTGAAATGTTAAAATTTGAAGTTTAGTGCTGAAACATTATGGATAAAAATGCAGATCCAGACTCCAGATCCAGTTTTTAGTCCTATCCAGCATTAGCATTAGCATTAGCATTAGCATCTGTAACCCACAGGTCTGTGTCCTAACCATTAAGTTGTTATCAGAGTAAATCCCTGTTCAACATGAGTCTGACAACTAAGTAAGTAGATAAATAACTTTAAACTTTAACTCATGCTCTGATTGGCCGGATCGGGACATCTCTAATCCGAACCGTTCGTCTTTGTTTTTCAGATCGTGGCAAACTTTGAAGTTCGACAAACAGCCCGCGTCCTTCATCCGGATTGTGGGGACTCACAACACCGCCAACGAGGTAAAACCCTAACCCTAACCCGGCTCCCTAGCCCCTAACCCTAACCCGGCTCCCTAACCCAACGAGGTAACACCCTAACCCTTAACCCCTAACCCTAACCCCGCTCCCTAACCATAACCCTAACCCCGCTCCCTAACCCCACTCCCTAACCCTAAGCCCGCTTCCTAACCCTAACCCCGCTCCCTAACCCTAACCCCTTCCCTAACCCCTAACCCTAACTCCTAACCCTAACCCCGCTCCCTAACCTTAACCCCGCTCCCTAACCCTAACCCTAACCCCGCTCGATAACCCTAACCCCGCTCCCTAACCCTAACCTCGCTCCCTAACCCTAATCCCAACCCCAACCCTAACCCTAAACCTAACCATGACTCTAACCCTAACCCTGACCCTAAACCT